AACCATGTTCTGAGTGATAAATATGCTCAAATATATATAACATAAGCATAGACCTAGTTCTATATGTAACAATCTGTGTCTACACTAAGCTAATACAAGCTCACACAGATGCCTTTAACTCTAGTCCATTACCAAAAGCATGACTTTCAGTAGGAAAAAAAACTTGGCCCTGCCAAGGTCATAGTATATATCTTATCTGCTCTTTAGAATGATAGTAAGACATAGATTGAGAAAAAATGGGTTAGAAGAAAGAGAACATCATATGTTTCATTTTAATTTTTTGTTAATATTTTTAAGTCAAAGGAAGTGCCAGTTCCCCGGGAGGAGTGTTAACGGAGAGGGGGCTCCAAGCAGCAGGCCTGGCACCAGCTCGTGAAGGTCCATCTCCAGGAGGGCCTGGACACTAGCTCCTCAGTAGCGCTTAGGACCTTGGAAGTAAACTACAATTCTAATAATCATCTGGTGGCTCAGAAACAGGCAACTCCTGGACCACGCGTAGAAAAACAGTGCTGACATAATCCAATAAAAAAAAATGGAGTACAGACCGAAACAGAGAACTCTCAACAGAGGAATCTAAAATGGCTGAAAGACACTTAAGGAAATGTTCAACATTCTTAGTCATCAGAGAAATGCAAATCAAAACAACTCTGAGATTCCATCTTACACCTGTAAGAATGGCCAAGATCAAAAACACTGATGAAAACTTATGCTGGAGAGGTTGTGAGGTAAAGGGAACACTCCTGCATTGCTGGTGGGAATGCAAGCTGGTCCAACCCCTTTGGATATCAGTGTGGCGATTTCTCAGATAATTAGGAAACAACCTTCCTCAAGAGCAACAATACCACTTTCGGGTATATATCCAAAGGATGCTCAACCATGCCATCGGTCGAAGAATGGATAAGAAAAATGTGGTACATTTACACAATGGAGTACTACACAGCAGAAAAAAAAATAACGAATTTTGCAGGAAAATGGATGGAGCTAGAAAACATTATTTTGTGTGAGGTAACCCAGACACAGAAAGACAATTATCACATGTACTCACTCATAGGTGGTTTTTAGACATAAAGCAAAGAAAGCCAGCCTACAAACCATAATCCAAGAGAACTTAGAGAACAATGTGGACACTAAGAGAGACTTACATAGATATATTCTATGTGGGAAGTAGAAAGTATAAAGAAACAAGATCTCCTGAGTAAATTGGGAGCATGGTGACCTTGGGGGAGGGTTGAAGGGGGAGAGGCAGGGAGGGGAGCAGAGAAAAATGCATAGCTCAATAAATATCAATAAAAAAAGAAAGAAAAACGGTGCTGAAAAGCCAAGCTGGCACATGAAGCCAAGGCAGCCATGTCATTTCAGATGGCCTTCCACTGAGTGGCTGAGTGTTCTGCTCAGGGGTGGTTCCTCAGTTTCACACACTAGTACAGCCATGCAATGCCTGGGCCCTTTGAATTACAATAATGCCCCACTGTTTGCTCCTCCGGGAGCTAAAGAAGCTCCAGAAAAACTCCACGAGTCAGTAGCTTAGCTCTAGGAAAAAGATGAATCTTAAGAATGAGATCTATGTTAGCCAACCATCTACATTGGGATAAGGTGATACACACTGTCCATAGTCAGAATACTCAGAAAGTGGAGGCAGAATCAGGAGTTCAAGATTATCATGTTATACAGTTTGAGGCTAACCCAAGTATGTCTCAACAAATACAAATACAAATCTTACCATGGAATATTGTTTTCAGTAGTATTTGCCCAATAATGGCCACGGCTTTTCGTTTTTTCACTGCCATTGTTTGGTCTTTACTGAGAACACCCTTATTACATAGTTCAGTGGTGGAATACTTGCCTAGCATATATAAAGGTTTGGGTCCCATCCTTAGCACTGAGAAAAATGAAGGGAAGAGAGGGGAAAGGAATATCATGAAATGGAAACCACTCTTCAGTCTTCACCAGGTTCTCAACAACACTGCCATGCAACACTGACCAGCCTACTCTTTACCTATTGTTTGGGTCGGGCCCTTCGATGGTAGGGGCCCATTCTGCTCGGGACAGCAACAGTAATCCGTGTTTTTTGTGAGGGATGCCATTCCCATCCAAGCCAATCAGACTAGTCTTCCTGGACTTTATACTGTCTCCAGACCCAGAACTCATCAGCAGCAGGGACCAGGCCTTCTTCGCTGGTCTCTGATGCTCTCCTGGCGCCTGGCTATGAATATTCAGGGCATGCATGTTGAATGAATCACACAGAAAGCCGTGCACCTTCAACAAATGCTGAACTGAGTCTATCATTTTCCAAAAGAATTCTACAGAGAGAGAAAATTGTATGATGTTTTGTGAGGGAAATGTCCACTGTGATAGCTGGGAAATATGCATCGGAAATAGTACCCTAAGTTACCATTTCTCTGTGCATTAACGATGTCAATCAGCCCAATAAAATAAAGCCCGTGGGGGGAGAAAAGACAAAAGGAGAATTACCTCATTACCTCAGCATCTGCTTGAACATAAAAAAAAAATCACACACTGGCTAATTTTTTTAAGGGACATAATATAACTTTCTAGAAAGACATAATCTACCTAATTATAGCATTCAGTAGACGGGAACATACAATGTTGTGAAGTAATTCAGAAGTGGGTGTGATTTATAAGACAGAGCGTGGGGACGGGTACATAGAAATTAGATTGTTCATATTATGACAGGCTCCTTCACTGCACTTCACAACTGTGGCAGGCCTAACCTCACTCTCACCACTGAAGGCTCCCCACTAGGGACGATGGCTGTCAGCAGCTCCGCAGTACCCACAGCGGCCTCCTTCCTGCACAGCCCCCTGGGGAAGAGGTTCAAGTTTTAGACCTAAAACTCATTCAAAGGGGGAGCCGCATGAGGAGACAAAAGTGGCCAACAAATACGTGAAGACCACAACTTCACTGATGGTCAGGGCGACAGACATTTTAAAGGAGACATCTTGCCAGTTCCAATGGCAAAAATTCAAGAACTTGTCGGGCTGTCCAGCTGACAATTACTGTCAGCCAACGCTCACCAGAATTTGCGATGAGGGCACTGCTGGGGGAAGAGTGAACGCCTGTGCACCGGATGGCATAATTTCATAACATGCATGCCATCAAATCCAACCATCCCATCTCTAAGAACCTACCCTAGAAAAAATAATAGTCTATTTATTTGCATGCCTCTTTGATTAATGACTATCTACCAGGCAAGAAACATCCTAAGAGCCAGGAGAGTCTGATTCACCATCTAGCCACAGGCTCTAGAACTTGGGCCCCACATACAACAAGTAATTGGCAGCTGTTTAAAGACACAAAAACATATGTTTACTCAGCATTAAACAAGGGAAATAGAGCAACCAATCAAAAATGGTCTTCTTGTTCATATTGAATGGGGAAATTAAAATTATGACTCACCACAGCAACAACCCACCATCAACATAAAAACATGGCCATCATACTGGTATCCCCAAAGACCTGATAGCCATGTTTATCCTCAAATGGCTGGCTTCCTAGTTAATTCCACATCTCAGACAGCCATTACATACTCTTAAATAAGTCTTTATCAAAGTCTGGCTGACAAACACATTCTGGTTTTAAAATATGAAACTCTCACAGTAGGTTGAACAACCAACCCTAACACCCATGTGAACAATCTCAGTGTCGAGGGTGGGGGAGAGAAACACAAACCTAGGTTATGTTACTTCTGGTTCAAGTACTCCATCAGGAAAATGGAGCCTTTCGAAATACCAAGCCACGGATTTGTTTTTGCATAAAATAACCAAAAAGTCCAAAGGTGTTGAGAGATTCCAAATAAGGCAATCTGTCCAGCTCCTGGAGTCTCAGGTGCTGTGTGGGTTGACTTGGGGCTAATTGTGAATAAGCAATTAACACTTATTCCAGGTTTCTAGATGCTAGATAGAGAGTTTCAGCGAGGTTAGCTAACTCCCTGAGGTGGCACAGTACAGTGCTGTGGAGATCTTTCCGCCCAGAGTGTGGTGGACACTATGGCTGATGGGCTTGAAAAGCCCCTTGACAGGACCTCTAAACCAACTGGCTTAGCTCCTGTCTTCAGTCACAAGGCCCAGGAAAGGGAAGGCATCAACTTCAGAGCTGGTGAACTGAGCCAAGAGAAGCGAAAGGACCAGGCTGAGCCACTGAGCAGGCCCCTTCCAGGGTCAGCAAGTCGCTCAGTACGGGCATGCCCTGCACACTTTTACTTCCTAAACCAGTGTGGTTCCTCTTTCTTGACCCATATTTTCAAACCAACCTTTGAGCAGGACAATTACCTGATTTTTTTTTTTTTAAGTGTGTCAGGTTAACTTGATCTAGGATTTGCTTTGTTCACCAATGTGCTGAGTGACAGTCATCAGCTCCCAAGCAGTAGAGAAACGCTTGCAATACGGCCTGGCTTTCTGGCACCCAGCATCAGCCCCGCTCCCTCAGAAAGCCCCACACAGGCAGGGTGTCGACTCACTGACTAATAAATTGCTAAAAATGGGAAGTGATGAGAACACGTCGGTGGCCTAAAAAAATCCCAGCAGGGTAAAGAAAAAGGAACTAGACCGAGCCCCAAAGAAAAGCTGGAAAAGCTGCAGGCCCAGGAACGGCTGAAGTGTGCAAGGGTGGGGCCTCAGCTAGGAGCCAGGCCATCCGAGCTACCTAACCCGGCGCCCAGCGATCCTGTCTTGCTCGTTTCTCCCGAGTGGACCGGAGTGCAAGCCGTGACCATGTCCACGCCCGATGCGTGTCTCTTCCCATCCCCCGGTCCCGCAATCTCTGCAGGTCGCGCTTCTCCCACTGCGAGAAGACGCTCCAGCTCCTCCGCCCAGGGCTCTGCATGGCGCGCGGAGCTGGGGGAGCGCTGCACCGCGACTGAGCTGCGGGGTGGCGGCCTCGGCCTCACGATCCCCGGGGCCCAGGCTGGCACCTGCGACAGCGCACGGAGCTGTCCCGCCCGAGGCCGCGGCTCCCGCACCTGCGCCCGCGGGCCCGCCTACCTTGCTCCTTCAAGCTGGTGATGAGCTGCAGCTGCTTCTCCTCGTCCGAGCTGTTCATTTTGGCGGGTGGGGCTGGGGATAAAAGGCAAGGAGGGAGAGGCGAGGGGGACACGGGGGAGGGGGAGCAGAAAGCAAGACGCCGGTGGCGCGGCGTGCGGCTGCACTACCCGGAAGTTGGGATCGCTCCCGCTCCTCCCGCTCCTCCTCCTCCTCCTGGCGCGCAGCACGCGGTGAGATCATCCCGTGCACCTACTCGCGGCATGCGGCTGCTCCACCTGCAGCGGGCGGGCCTGGGCACTGGGCCCGGGAGGGGCATGGGAAGCGAAGGCGGGTCAGGTGTCGAGGCCCCAGGGCGCCTGTGCGTCCATGCATGTGGCCTCCGCTGCGCCCTGCATTGCACCCCCGACGCGCACGCAGAGGACTCCCGCCCCGGGTTCGCCACCCCAGAGCTGGACAGCGGATCTGAGCCGAACGTGACCAACCTCAGCCGCCCTCTATTCCTCATTGGTCTCTGGCCAGGCTGGAAAATCTCTGTTCTACACTTCTACAGGGAACACCTTGAGGCCAGACCCCAGCAGGTGCATGTTGCAGGCTGTCTGGCTAATTGAGTCACCGCACAATCCCGGGGGGAAGGCGTGGCAGTCTTGTCACAGTTCCTCCGCGGGTTTCCATCCATCATACCAGTGTGAAGAGGGAGATATCAGGACCTCGGCCCTGCCTCAGGGACTTCACCATGCATGAACTGCAGGGAAGATCATCTGGTTTCCGTGGGAGGATCTTCTGTCTTGGGGGAGCCTGGCACTGCACGCTGAATACCCAAAGTCACTGGGTTCACGCCAGGAGCCTAGTGTGTAATGATTCACAGCCCTTGCGCCTCTTAAGGACCCTCGGTTGTGTTCACACCCAGCTCTGGAGGAGGCCCAGGCAGGCTTGACTTTCTCCAGCTAATAATGTATACTCTCCAAGAATTTGAAACATTGATCAGGAAGAGGAATTTGATCACAGCATCAAATCCAGAATCAATACTAGAAGCTCTTATCCAGCATGCGCCAAGGTCCTACGTTCCATCCAATAAGGGGAATGAACGGCTACGAACTGCCCTGCTCTGGATTCTGCGCGGTTTTGTTTTTATGATTACGGGTGTTATGGCTGCTAATTACAAGTTGAGAAAGGCAGAGTTCTTTATTCCGATCATTAAGCATCCAAGATAAAGCCAACTAAGGAAGCCTTCTGCATATCTTAGATTATTACGTCATCATCTCTAAACTCATCAAGAACATCGATTCAGGACTTCTGGGCATGCCTCACGTCACAGCTTAGGCAAATGTCCAAGAGAAGGGGAAGAGTATCGGCATTTGGGTAGATCCTGAAGCCAGTATGGCTCTCCTTACCACATACCATCCATGATGACCTTTGAAGCGGGGAATGGCTTTTTTTTCCCTGTAATAAATGGCAATGTAGTATTTTAGAACACATGGTTTCGTTGGTAGGGTGTTCTGAAGTGGCTATGCAGGTTTCTAAATAAAAAGAAATAAAAATGAAACTTTATGAAATGGTTTCAGTATGGGGATTTTGCTGTTCAATCCTCCCTGTAATGTTTCATAAGATAGTAAAAGTATTTCCCAGTCGGCTACAGTGATGATTCCTAAAGATAACCACATGGCCTTCCTCCCGAGGTTACTCTTTTAGTCCTCATACTTGAAAGGCAGGAGCGGTGAGCGACTTCAGTCAACTGTGTGACCATGTGAATATGAGCTACCACCAGGTGTTTTGTGGAATGAATGATAATTTGCCCCAAGAAAATAAGAATATATCCAGGAGAGCCAAGTGACCGACAATCACCACTTAGCTTTTGAAGGGTAGCCAGGGTGCCAGACTGTGACTGCTGACCCAAACCCAAGTAACCACAAGTACCTTCTCCACCACATGGAAGTAAGATGCCCAGTTGATACTTAGATTGGTTTACAAATTCCCATTCTTCTAAATGGCTAGCGGAAGTGTCAGCCCCAGCTGTATAGTGTACTGTGGTGTTTGGGGAGTATGAGAAGAATTAAGGACCCAGTCTCAAACTGAATGCTTTGGTCTCGCTCTGAATCTGTAGCTCATTGACATGAACCCCATGCACTCCCTTTGAAATTAAAATAGCCACCTGAAAAACAATGCCCTATTATCCCGAGGGCATGCTATGAATTATTAGGATGCCTATTAGATTTACTTATTGGGATACACAGCTTCTGTTACATCGTGATTTATTTATACGACATGAATATTGATGGAAAGGATAGAGTGATATTATTAGTTTTTGTTCTGCTCAATAATACACGCAGGGATTTGTGTTTCATTGTGTCGAAGCTGTTATTAACTGTCAAACAAAATCTAATTTAAAGCATCTTGAGATGTACATGCACACAAACATAGACACACATGTATGTACATGAACACATACATAGACACACACGTATGAGGCCAGGAGGTACTTCCTAAAGATGAACTGAAAGATTTGTAGCAAACTCAAGATTATGACTGCCACAAGGGATAGAGGGCAGAGGAACTGACTCAAGGGAAGGAGGTGGAGTCGGGAGCACAGTGGTGAAGAGGCTGTTTAGGACTTGCTTGCTATTTCAGGTCATTACGACAATAAATGTAATCTTCTGGGGTGCACAGATGATAAAACTGAGGTGTAAAGAGAAATTTGTCCTCTGACCCATTCATTCTACGTGAGGGAGTCACTCCTTAGAGACTTGTCTTCAGGGCTATTGCCATAATATTATCAACGATATGAAATAGTAACATTTGAGTGTTATTTGGCAATGCAGAGAAACAGTTGTGATACATGACCCCCGATGGACAAACGTTGAACACATTAACCTAAGTGGGAATAAGCCAATCAAAAAATCCTATTGCCTTTATATAAAATGCTCACAAAAAAAAGTTGACAAATGATTTGTATAGAACTGGGGATGAAGAAGAGAAGAAAATAGAAAACGGCTCCTGATAGGTGTGTGCATAAACTTTGGGGGGATGATAAACTCTGAAATTCATTGTATTTCTGATTGCATTACTCAGGATATTCTCAAAAAATTGTACATTGTGTCCATTTAGTAAAGACTTTGATTGTTCACCCATGATGCTAGATACCTTTTTAGCACCTGTGATTTGATGGCAGGTGAAATATAGCTCAGAAAAGTGTTATTTTTTTCAAGAGTTATTTTATTTTGATTATGTATATGTGCATGGGGTATACATGTGAGTGTTGGTGCCCTCAGAACAAGAAGAGGGTGGCAGATTCATCTGAAACTGGAGTTACAGGCAACTGTGAGGTACCGGAAGTTGGTGCTGGAAAATGAACTTACGTCCTCTAGAAGAACATAAAGTATTCTCAACCACTGAGCCATCTCTCCATCTCCAAAAACTCTTTTTGTTTTAATCCTTTTATAGATTCCCAGAGCCAGATGTAGTGATGTACACCTATAATTCCAGCCTTCGGGAGGCAGAGGCAATTGAATCACCTGTAAATTAAAGGCTGGCTCGGCTGCACATTTCCAAGCCAGCCAGGAATGCAAAGCCACACACTATCCCAAAATGAGCTGGGTGTGGTGATCTGCACCTTTAACCTGCGCTTGGGGGCAGAGATAGTCACAGCTCCTTGACTTGCAGGCCAGTCTGGTTTGCAGAGTTTCAAAACAGTCAGAGAATGTAGAGAGATGATGTCTCAAAAAACAATAATAAAAAACTTGAACCAACAATTTACAGGGGGAAAAGTCTTAAATAAATAACTATTAAATCACTGTTTCCTGCACAAATATTTTTAAATTGTCAAACATTTGTGTAAAAAATTGTTCTCCTTTTTACTAAGCAGTAGTTCATATTCTTAATCTTGTTTCAGCTTAGTGTGCATGCTGCATCATTCCAGCATATCAATGAATAATTAGCAGTTCTTGAATTCTTAGATAGTTGTGTTGTTACTAGTATATGTCTGTTTATAAATGATGCTATTCTAATATACGGAACACATCTAGCACAACATAGTTCAAACACTAAAACTAAACACAATATTGAAGTCTTAGAAGTAACTGAAGAGGGTTCATCATATAACTCTGTTGTAGAGTGCATGCCCTGTATGCATGCACCAGGTGCTGTAGAGTGTGTGCCCGGCTGGCATGCACCAGGTGCTGTAGAGTGCATGCCCTGTATGCATGCACCAGGTGCTGTAGAGTGTGTGCCTGGCTGGCATGCACCAGGTGTTGTAGAGTGCAAGCCCTGTATGCATGCACCAGGTGCTGTTGAGTGCGTGCCCGGCTTACACGCCCCAGGTCCTTGTTTGATCTTCAGCGTGCCTCCTCTTCCCTCAGGTAACGAAAGACACATTACACATGTTTGCAATAGCACTGGAAAATAAAGAGCTTTGGTGTAAATCTAGCAAAATTTATGGGAAATCTAGATGCTACAAAGTACAAAACATCGATGAGAACAAAGACATAAATAAATAGACATGCCATGTTCATGAGCTGGAACTCTCGACCCAGGGCATCTTCCGTCATAGGCAACCGTTCCACCACTGAGCTGTTACCAGCTCCCCAAAAGCGTTTTTAAATTTCTTTTTTATTCCCTTTTGTGTTTGCATGTGTTGTATGTGCACACGTATGTGTAGGCTTGCTCATCTGTGCATCATGGAGCCAAGGGAAGATGACTGTTGTCCTCCCTGTCACTGCTCTGTTCCCTTGAAACAGGGTCGCTCTCAATCAGGAGCTAGACTGGCAGCCAGCAAGCACCGCCCACTTCCCTGTCTCTGCTCCACATCGCACTGGGGTTAAAGGCAAGGGTTTTGCTGCCCAGCTTCGTACATGGGTGCTGGGATTTGAACCCAAGCTCTCATGCTGGTGCATCAAGTGTTCTTACCACCTGCGCCAGGCCCCAGCGTGAAAGTTAAGAGTGAAATATTATACATCCGTTAGGGTAGCTAAAAGTAAACAAGGATGACCGTAAGTGCTGACAGGGATGCAGAGCAACCGGGACTCTGAATTGCTGAAGTAATTTTTAAAGCACTGGCACTTTGGAAAGGAACTTGGCAGTTCTTTGTTAAATTACACATACATATTTCCAACAACCCATGCCTACCAGTTTGCCAAAGTGAACTGAAAACGCATGTCCACAGAAAAAGATCTATGTGTAAATGTTGTTGAAGCATTATTCCTTATCGTCAATGGCT